TTGGTTTGTTCCCTCTTTGTTAATGCCAAAAGGGGGGAGAAGAGTATATGTTGTATCTGTACAGGTATAGCTGACTGTGTGTCACAAGTAGCATCATGGCAGGAGTAGCATCATGGCAGGAGTCGACTCCAACCATGGACTAGTCGACTGCATGAACTGAAAGGGAGTGCCATGCACCTGTCAACTGCATACATTGAGGGGGAGTAAAACACAGGGAAGTCAACTGGTGTTTATACATATATATTATTTTGTCATCATCAAAAAGGGGAAGATTGTTAGATATAATTTTAATGATGCAAATAATATATCTGTGCAAGAAATCAATTGCAGAAGATCAAGGAATCAAGGAGCTACTACAAGATTGATGAAGTCAATCTGGATGCTTAAGGAAAGAAATCAGTCAGCAAAGATCATGGACAGTTGCGATGGAAAGAATCAAGCAAGCCTAAACATAAGGCATCAATCAAGGCCAGTACATTCAATCCGGAAGATTGAAGCAGTCAAAAAGCATCAAAGATTCTGTAAAAAGATTAGCTGAGCGGCTAATTTTGGAAGGACCAACAATCAAGGAGTAAACCCTCATCGTTAACATCTGTAGAAGGAAAGCTGTCAATTTCCTCTCATCAAGGAAGAGCAACGGCAAGCAATCTTATTCTTGGAAAGAATCAATCTCTTTCCAAGGAACAAATCTCTTAGGTTGTCAAGTCTCGTCAGCAAACGGTCTTCACCAAAGTATTTATACTCAGCATCAAGCCTTAGACAAATATACTTTGATCGAACCAAAACTCCTCTCTTTATTCTACTGCAAACAAACATTATAGTTCTCTAAGATCTGTTGTGTAACAAGTCAGAGAAAAAAGGAGAGTACAACACTGGTGAGGTATTGTATCAAAAGAGACGAGTGTTATAGGAACTGAGCTATCACGTCATTTCCAATGTACTTGAAGAAACACATTTACTAAAGAGAACTCTCTTGCAATCCAAGGGGACTGGACTAGGATTCACATTGAATCTGAACCAGTATAAAATTACGGTGTCTTTAATTCATGCACTTACTTTCTGTGTTTTATATTATGTTATTATAATTGTTAGGTTTTTGCATCTAGTTGACTAATTGAGAAACCAGTCAACTAATAGAGATTAAGTTTAAAATATACAATTCACCCCCTCCCTCCTCTTGTACTTTCACTATCCACCTATGAAATTCTTCAAACATAACATTTAAATGATGTAAGTACTATATATTATACCAAATTTCTACTTTACGTCGTATTTGAAGGTATAATATAAACTAATACAGTCTCAATATATATACTCTATCCTTCCCAAAATACTCATCACTTTTCCTTTTTAAGAGTCAATTGGCTTATTGTCCAAGCAAAATTGGATTAGATCAACTTAATATGAAAATTTAAATATAAATATTAAAAAAATTATATACAAAGTTTAAAATGATAAGAAATACATTTCAAATATTGAATTTTGATAAGCAAAAGCGACATATAAGTTGGAACAATGGAGTATATCATATAATAATTATCTTCATACATGGGTGATGTTTAGCCATAATTCTATATCTTTAATTTATTGAATTATTTACCTAACATTTTGGTATATTTATTATTAAATTGTGCGACACTTGAGCTTAATTGAGTTATTTTTATATGTAGGACTATTGGTGTGACGACTCAGCCAGTCCTCTTATAAATTTAAGCCCCGATCCCCCAATAACTGCTTTCCCCAAGTTTATTTCTGCTATTTTGATTTGACAGGATGTTCGGTTTTGAGTTTCGGAGAGTTTTGGGACATTTAGGCTTGACCGTAGTCAGAACAGTGTGAAGAAGGCCTTGGAATGGAAATCCGATGGTTTCGTTAGCTCCGTTGGATGATTTCGGGCTTAGGGGAGTGTTCGGATTGTGTTTTGGAGGTATGTAGCTAATTTAGGCTTGAAATGCCGAAAGTTGAATTTTTGAAGTTTCCGATTCGATAGTGATATTTTGATCCGAGGATCGGAATGGAATTCCGAAAGTTGGAGTAGCTCCGTAGTGTTTAATGTGACGTGTGTGCAAAATTTCAGGTCATTCGGACGAGGTTTGATAGACTTTTTGATCAAAAATGTATTGTTAGAGTTTTTGGAATTCTTAGGCTTGAATCCGATAAAAATAGGTGTTTTGATGTTGTTTTGACCGTTCCGAAGGTTGGAACAAGTTTGAATTATATTTTAGGATTGGTTGGCATGTTTAGTTGAGGTCCGAGGGCCTCGGGTGTGTTTCGGATGCTCAACGGGTCATTTTTGGACTTAGAGAATTGCAGAAAAATGTTGCAGCAGTCATTCTGGTTTCCTTCTTCACGTTCGTGAGTGGGGTCTCGCATTCGCGAAGAGGAGCTAGGGATGCTGAGGAATTAACACTTCGCATTTGCGAAGGAGCTTACGCATTCGCGAGGTTGTGGGACTTTGTGCCTACGCATTCGCGAAGGCAGTCTCGCGTTCGCGTAGGAGAAGAGAAATGATCATCGCGTTCGCGGCTCAGGCATCGCGTTCGCATTGAGGGAGACTGCCCAGTGGAACTTTAGTGCATCGCGTTCGCGACCGTAGCCTCGCGTTCGAGAAGAAGAACGCGCCTGGGCAGAATGTTTAAGTTCAAAATCGAGGATTTAGCCATTTTTATCAAAACTTAAGCTTGGGAGCTCGGATTTGAGCGAGATTTTAAGGGATTTTCAGAGATATCGATTGGGTAATGATTCTTAACTCCTTTTTTCATGTAACCCATTAATCTAAACATAAATTCTTCATTAAATTTCGGAATTTGTATGAAAATTTGGGGAAAAGTTCTTAGACCAAAAATATGAGTTTTAATTGTGGATTTGATATCAGATTTGGATAATTTTAGTATGGTTAGACTCGTGAGAGTATGAAAATTCTGAAAATATAAATTTTACCTGATTCCGAGACGTGGGCCCGAGGGGCATTTTGGTCATTTTACCTAATTTCGTGTATTAGCTTAGAATTTCTTTGTAGAATCAGTTACTTGAAGTGTTATTTACGTTATGAAATTGAATTAAATATATTTGGGCTATTTGGAGTCGAGTACTCATGGCAACAACGTGGTTTCAAGTTGATTATTGAGCCGGTTCGAGGTAAGTGACTTGTCTAACCTTGTGTGGGGGACCTTCCCCTTAGAATTCGGTATATTTGATACTTAAATGCCTTGTGCGTGAGGTGAAGAGTGTGTACTTGAGCTAATTGTTGAAAATCCGATTTTCTTTAAGTAATTCCAATTGTGTTCCTTTTCCTGTTTTATTTTACTTGTAATTTAAACCTGCTGTTAGCTTATAAAAAGCATGTCTAATTGACTTAACTGTTTATTTGTTTAACTGCCTTAATTGAATTGTGTGAAGCATGTTAGATTAGAATTACCTATTTACTTGATACGAAATTGAGCTTAATTGAGTATTCTTGTGTTGCTGCTGTGTGTTTTGCTTTGGGACTACGGGACAACATCCCAGGAGATCTCATGTACGTATTTATGATTTGAACTGAGGTGCGGGATACCAATAGATCACTGGCACGTATATTGAGGATACTAAGAGATCCTCGGGATACCAAGAGATCCCTAGTACATATTGAGGATACCAAGAGATCCTCGGGATACCAAGAGATCCCTAGCACAAATTGAGGATACCGAGAGATCCTCGGGATACCAAGAGATCCCTAGAACAAATTGAGGATACCGAGAGATCCTCAGGATACCAAGAGATCCCTAGCATATATTGAGGATACCGAGAGATCATCGGGATACCAAGAGGTCCCTAGCGTTTATTGAGGGTACTAAGAGATCCTCGGGATACTGAGAGATCCCCGGTTATTTCCTTATGATTGTTTTTGCCTCTGTTTCAGTTGTTGAATTCCTTGTTTTCCTGTATTAAATTCTTATCGTTAGTTTTCAGTTGTACTGCTTATCTTATACTGTCATGTCTTATATGCTTTATTTTATCTCAGTAGGGCCCTGTCCTTCCTCGTCGCTACCCGACCGAGGTTAGGCTTGGCACTTACTGAGTACCGTTGTGGTGTACTCATGCCCCTTCTGCGTATGTTTTTCATGTGCAGATCCAAGTACTGCGACTCAGTCCTATCACCCTTGAGGCGAGGCGACTGCTCCAGCGACTTCGAGGTATATCTGATGCGTCCGCAGACCGAGGAGCCCTTTTCTATTAAAGCTTTTAAATATTTGTCCTTCTATATTTCTTTTCCTTGTTAGATATTCTGGAGTTAGAGCACTTTTAAACACTGTTTTATCACTCTTCATTCTATTTTAATTTGTTTTTTATTCCGCACTTTGGTTATCTTCCGCAATTTAGGCTTACCTAGTCGTAGAGGACTAGGTGCCGTCACGATGGTTCACGGAGGACGAACCGGGGTCATGACAATTGGAACGCAAAGAGGAATGAAAGTTGCACAAAAGAATATTAAAAATACAAGAAAAAACACGAAAGAAAAAAGACAGGCAAGGAGGAGCTTGCCCCAGACCTTACCTCACCTGGCATGAGGTGAAATGGAGCTCGCGCCCAGCCAAGCCTTATGCTTTCATCAAATGAAGAGATTAAATGTGTTTGGTCGAATTTCACAAGGAATAAAGTAGGTAAAAATTTTGCAATACTCCTCCTTTTCTCTAAATGTATACATTTAATGAGACTTCATCATATGATTGTATAAGAAGGAACTAGATAGATTTGGAGGGGGGGGGACTAATGATAAAAAATGATAATGATAAATAAACAAAAAAAAAAAATTGGGTGAGGAATCCAAGTTTGAGCATTAATATTGGACAACCTTGCTTACCAGACAACCAAAAGGACCAAAATACATTGATGACCATGGAAAATTGAAGGAAAAAAGAAATTTTCAACTTTTTAGTAGGATATATGCATGATGTTTAGTAAAAAAAAACTGTTCATGATTTAGACGGCTAGTTATGGAATATTAGACGGGCCCAACATTTGATGTTCTTCAAAAAATCATACATACAAACAACAATACAAAGAAGCTAAAATAGAAAAGAATTTACAGTTGATAAGTCGCAAAATATAGATTTCAAGTTTTATTTAAATCATACACTCTGTATGCTTGGGACATATACTTGTAACTCTTACAGCAATAAATACTTGAAAAGAAGAGCTATGATTTTGCAAACCCAAAAGTGAGGCATAAACCATCCTCGGGGAATAGCAGCAGAACATTGAAAACTATATTGTGAACTTCGTTCCTCTTTTTAAATTACATCCACAAAGATAACCACGCGTTCCTCCAACACTTGCTACATTGTCAAATCAATCTGCAATAATTTAAGAGATATACATACAGTCAAAGGAGGAAACTTCATAGCGACTATAAGTTGTTGAATATTATACACTTTATGTTTAAGGTAGATACTAATTAGCACAAACTTCATCAAGCCGCTACAGTAGAAATATCATTTTCTGCACATGTGAATTAGTTACAAAATAAAAGTCATACAATTTACCCACCAAGGATAAGGACATACAAATAGAACAATTCAAACTCACATTTCTTTCTCCAGTTTTCATGCTCAAACTACTGATCTATCGGGTTAAGCTTCTTAATATCCTTGGATAGAACTTGGTTGAGTAGCTCTGCAAGAATGTCTACAGTTAACCAATTTAGTTTGATTTACTTCTCATGGTCGATAGACACTTGAGTCATTAAAACACCACCAGATGCAACAATCTTTGCTAGAAGAAAAAGAATAAAAACACACAATATATATTATCAAGAGATTTTTCTGATAGCAAATTGAAATCAACTCAAGTATGTGCATCAATCTTGATCGAAAACTATCACCAAAACCTATTTGCTAGTGAGAATTAGAACTTTCTGTTAAAAAGGGTAAGGCTTTCCAATGCTAAAAATCAAATCAATTCATATTCAGTATAGTTTACCACGAAAAATCTGTTACCAGTTCATTCATAAACTGATTTCGCATTCATCGCGAATATATCGCCAATGTGAAGATGATTTATAAGAAAATATTATTTATAAGAAAATATTATAACATAATATGACACAGGCTTTCTTTTTGGGGCTTGTTCTGAAATGGGATGCCAAGTAAGTAAAAAGTAAATTTCAACTATGAAGGACATCTAATTAAGATTATAAATAATTTTTCCTTACTACAAGAGTATATTAGGGATGCACGCATTTCTACCATGTAATAACAATATTTTCAGATGGTGTAAAAGATTGTTGGATAGAAATACAATCCATATAAAAGAAGCAAGTAATTATTGGCATACCTGCATCAAGACAAATAAAGTAATAAATCCAAACTCATATTTTCCAATGTGTGGATGTTATTATGGCGACCTTTGTATAAGCTTGTGTGCTCTGCTCTCTGATGTAATTTGGCTTTATCGATAGAGGCTTATGGATTAAATTGAAAGGCCGGTGACGATTGTTCCTAGTGTTGTGGAAGCCAAATGTATATAGTGTGAATGAATCACAACTATTATACCAAAAATTATGACAGCCACCAAATAATAAATAAGACAATAAAGCAACAATAAAAGGAACACCAGAATTTACGAGGTTCGGCCAATTTTGCTTACTTCCTCGGACACAACCAATATTTTATTTCACTCCAAAAATACAAGTGAAATAATACTAAAGAGAGAAAATACAAATGACTTAAGAAGATAAGAAGGAAAATGAGAGGTGTGTTTAAATCCTAAACATTAGGCCTTCTTTTATAGGGAGAAATTCTTCCCAAGGTGGGAGTTTGCCATTTCCAACACCTAGAACCATAGGGGAAAGGAATCTCCACACGAGGAAAATGACAATCTTCAATCTCAACCTGAAATTCTTATACTGAGAAAAATATATGAGGATCCACGAAGCATACCTGGTGATATAGTAGAAAAAACTAAATTTTGTATTCTCTAACATGGTATTACAAATTTCAAATATCTAATGAGCGTGGCAAGGAGAGGCATCACTTGACAGTAACAATTGCAACACCAGCATGCTCTTCTTATATGCTAGTACCAGCAATTCAGCACAGACATGTGTAATACTCAGCTATATTGACTGCTCAAATCATATCAACTGTGGAGCAAGAGGATCATTGACATCTTACGTTCAATTTACATTACATTTGAGATGTGTTTAGCTCGCGGAGTTACTTTGTTGGTTCTTTTTTAAAATAAAAAAAATCCTAATGTTGTTGCTTATATAAGTGAAGCAACAAACAATAGTCACACATTGTGGTCAACCAGCCTTAAATATGCTTTATAAGTTGGACCTGGTTTACCTCTGCCAGCGCGGAGCCTAGCTTGAAAGACTGAAATTGAAGTTTATAGGAAATCCACATAGCAGAATTTATAGGCCTAGGATATACTACGTCGTCAAAGACATACTCTACTTCTGCATAAAGTCAAATATTATGTACATCTTTCATGATAGTTTTAGCTAGACTAAAGAGCCAAATATTGTACCCGAGATGTGTTATAAGTTCAATACTTACATTTCGAATTGACATAGCAAGGAAAAAATACAACCAATTTGTTAAAGGGGAAGTTAGACAACTTTGCAATTAGCAAAATACCTACTGGTTATACTTCCTTGTTTTGTTAATATGTATAATACCATATTGCAACACAAAGAAAAGAAAAATGACCAAACATGCAAAATCTATTGAGCAACTCCCCGTTCCTTTATTCTGGCATCATGTGGAGAAGCATATCATAACACTATGACCAACAGGACAACAGATTTTGTATAGTCCAAAACTTCAATTACCTACGGGGATTAAAGCAATCAAGACATAGAATTGACAATCGATGCAAGTCTGCCCACCCCACATCCAAGGTATTACTATTCATTGGATGGGATAAAGCAAAATAAAAGATATTCAAATTTCAAAGTGAATCAAAATGCATTATGTAAAAAGAAATTTCAACCACCACAATAAGAAGGATGGCAACCTTACCTAAAAATTAAAGAATTGAGCCTTTTTAATCTTGTATAAATTTGTAAGAGAGAATTCTTTCAAGTAAACATATAAAATAATGAGGAGTCCCAATCCAACAAAAGTATCTAGCATTGTTCATTTTTTGTATTCTGGGAATGGAAGCCTGAGCATGGCTCAATGAAGAATAAATCAAAAGCATGTTCATAAAAGCACCATTTATTATCAAGAGAAGCAATCACCAAGTAGTTACTGATGTTCACATAGATAGTGACGGCTTGCATCTAGTATGAGCAATAAAAGCATATATAAAATTTCTAAAAAAAGCAGTGACTTAAGTAGAAAGCTAAACTCCAGAATGCAGTAACTTCAAAAATGCAAGGTCAAGGCAATATCAACTTGTACTCGCTGGCATTCATAAGATTTTATACTAGTGCCGATATGTAGACTGATTTAAGGTTATGAACTATCTCTTATGTCCTCCATCAGGACCTCGAACAGTTCCTTTCATTCATAAGTCATAATTGACAATGGAATTTTGATTATATATCTGCGAAATTGAATTGAATTATAAAATAACGTAGGTAGGCAACATAAATGTTTTTCTTGTATTTTATAGGAGCGAGGAGCTAGATAGCTAGATAGTTGTGAATTCAACCCTCACATTGTTACATGAGTTCATTGTGAGATTAACTCATGATTCAAAGAAGTGTGTGAACATCTAAAACCTTTCCTTTCAGGAGTAAAGGAAAAAAATTCAACTTTTTAGTAGGATATGCATTGTCACGACCCAATTCCATCGTAGGCCGTGATGGTGTCCAATATCATTGCTAGGCAAGCCAACACTGTGTTGATCAAAGTAGTGATTTCCCATTTGTGTAAATTACTAAGTGGATAATAATTCTTCATTTGTCAAAAGATTTAGAAATTTACTAATGAAACAAAGTTAAATGGAAGCAACGAATACAAGTTTTAATCATGTATATAATACCAAAATCATAAGTCTACTAGTGCGTATGTCAAGATTTGGTGTCACAAGTATGTGGGCAATCTAGTAGAATGTACAAAAGAACACTAGCCTACTGTTTGAAAGAAAATAGATAGAAAAATAAAGCATAAAGAAGACTCTAGCCACTGCAGAACTGCCCAGAAGGCAGCTCACCGTGAAGTCTCGAAAGGGGGATCAAATCTACGCGCCTGACTGGTGATCAGATGCATCTGCCTCAAATCCTGTACAATTAAATACAGAAGTATAACATGAGTACATAAAAATATGTACCCAGTAAGTATCTAGTCTAACCTCGAAGAAGTAGTGACGAGAGGTCGACTCCGACACTTACTAGGGCTAACAATATAATAATATAACGTTCTAGTTAAGCATGATATATAAAGATAACAACAAAACTCATAACAAGAAATAGCTGAACAATTCTTTCGTCATATTTAAGAACCCAAAACACTTCCTTTATTTAAAACAAACGATCTCTCAAACGATGAATTAATACAAGTTATAAAAAGGACTTCCAGTTCTATTATCACACATAAATTTCACTGAGGACGTTTGGCCCGATCCAACATAAATGTAAATTGTGCACTACTGAAGGTCGAACGGCGCGAACCATAGATGCATTTATTCACCCCGCTCGTGAATCATACGTGTGATGCGGTCAAATATAAATATAAAGAATTACCCCGCTTGTGGATCATACATGCGACGCGGTCAAATATAATTTTATCATTACATAACCCTTTCTTGATTCTTTTGAAAATAAAGACAATTCAACTTGAAGCCTTTAAATCCTTGGAAAATCATCAATTTAATTCCATTTGTTACAATTAGCAAATATAATCAAATAACGGTGTCCACAAAATGTAAACCTAAAACTACCCAGACATAATCAGGAATAGTAGCTACGTACGGACTCTTGTCACTTCATGCGTACTTAGCACCCACAATTAATCACATATTAATTAAGTTCACCTATGGGGAAATTTTCCTCTTACAAGGCAAGAAAAGAGACTTATCTCGTCTCAAGGCCTACTTTTCGGTCCAAGCTTATACCCAAACCCTCAATTTGGTGTCGAACAATCCAAAACTATCCAAATAGTGTAAAAACTAATCAATATAGGCTTAAAAGTTCATATCCCAACTATTAAAGTAATTTTCCAACTCAAAATGCAAGATTCCTAAAATTCATCCTCAGGCCGACGTGCCCGGATTCCGGAAATATTTTAAGAAAGTTGTTACCCATAACCTTAGGAACATAAATATATAATTTTCACTAAGTTTCATAACCATTTTCATGTTAAAATCTCATTTTTATAAAAAACCTAGGTTTTCCTCTAAACCCATGATTTTCACTAAATTACATGTTATAATCTACCCATAAACTATGTATTAAACTCACATTAGGTATAAATTACTTACCTCACAAAGCTAGGTCGAAATCCCCTCCTTAAAAGCTCTCAAATAGCCCAAGAGTGCAATAAATGACCCCAAAAATGCCTAAGTCCTGTTTTTAAAACTCACTGCCCAGCTGTCTCCTGCATTGCGAACGCGAGGCAAACGGCTCAGACACCCTGGAGACTCTACATTGCGAACGAGACCAAGGCCTCACGAACGTGGAGACTGGCTTGGACAACCCTTCGCGAATGTGGACTAGCTATCTCGAATGCGTAGCACACTTTCCCCCCAGTCCCAATTCCTTCTACGCGAATGCGATGGTCCCTTTGCATTCGCGAAGAAGGAAACCAAAACTGGGATTTTCTGGTTTCTCATACTTTGCTTCAAGGGGTCCGAAACTCACTCGAGCCACTCGGGACCCCGTTCAAAGGCACTAACAGGTCTGTAATCATAATACGGACTTTCTTGAACTCTCGAAATGCAAAAAATAACAACGAAACCAAGAATCATACCTCATAAAAACAAATTGAATCAAAGTTTGAACTTCAAATTTTCCAAATTCTCCGAATGCTTCACATCATACTTAGACTACTCGGAATGACACAAAATTTTGTGTGAAAGTCTTAAATGACTTTACGGAACAATTCCCAGTCTTGGAATTCTGTTTGGACCTCGATATCACCAAAACCCGCTCCAAAACAAATTTAAAGAACTTCAAAATCCTTCGAAAGCAACTTTCACTATTAGGCGTCAAAATGTTCTCTGGTCATCCAAAACCCGATCCGAACATACGCCCAAGTCTAAAAGAATCATACAAACTTATTGGAACAGTCAAATCCTGATTCCGAGGTCGTTTACTCAAAATGTTGACCAAAGTCAAACTTGGCCTTTTACATCAGCCTTAAGGAACCAAGTGTTGCGATTTCAACTCAATTTCTTCCAAATCCCGAACTAACGATCCCCACAAGTCATAAATCAATAAAAGCAAGTATAGGAGGTCTTATTTAGGGGAACGGGGTTCTAGAAAGCAAAACAACTAGTCGAGTCGTTACATTCTCCACCTCTTAAACAAACGTTCGCCCTCGAACGGGTTTAGATTCATACCCGAAGTGCTGAATAAGTGTGGATATCTGCTCCGCATGTCCTCCTCGGACTCC